TATATATATATATATAATCAACTAAGTCGATGGAAGTTTTATTTCTATTGGTTTGACTTTTGGGTTTATATATTATGAAATTAGAATAAATAAATAAAATTATATAATTTTGTTTAATTAGAGAAAAGATTCTAAAATTTGAGAATAATTTATTTTCTTAGCATATAACATAATTAGTATCATAAAGTTAAAGGGGTATAATTAATTTTTTTTATGATAATTTGATTTGATTTGATATTTTTTCAAATGAAATTTTAAAACTATATATAGGTTGTTAACCCAATAACTTGAAATGAATTAATATATTTTAGAGTTGATTTAGTTGAAACCTTTTTTTTTCTTTCCCAAAATAAACCAAATTGTAACAAACATTTTTAATTGAATTTTTTGTTTTGAAAATCAAACTAAATATATTTTTTATACATGCTTTTAAATATTTTTCTCTAAAAGATAAAATTATGATTATTATTAATCATTAAATTAGGGTGAGACCTAATTTTTTTTAAATAAATATAGTTTACGTGGTGTCTTAAAGTAGATAATTAAAAACTATACATAATTTTCACTTGTCAAACGTTTCAAAGAATATCTTGTACATGTGATGACATTTTCTCTTCTTCTATATAAGGTTCACCCTCCTTAAATTAAAATGAGATAAAAAAAAAGTTACAACTATTATTAATGTAAATGCATGGTAGTTATTGGGATAGAAATTAAATAAATGTGGTTTCTTAATGCCTTAATGGTCAACAACATATTAGTCTTTATTTTTCTCTTATCCTTAAATTACGATACATTCGAGACATTTAGTTCATGGATGTTGGATTTAAAAATAAAAAATAAAAATTGAACGTTGGGTTTGTGTTTAATGCACATAAACGTTAATACCAGTTTCCCAGAGACAGTAATACGTATACTTTTTTATCCTTTGAGGTTGTTAGGAAGTAGAAACGTACGCATGCAAAGTAGGTAAGCTTAAAGTTTACGATGTATATATCCTGCTTAAAAACTCTTGTCACATTAACTTTTTGTGTCATGCATATATAGAGCTGTAGAAACACAAAGCATTAAGAGACTGACCATGAACCATGTCTTTATTTAAGTGAACATTGAAATGTATCATGTGAGATTGTAGGACAGTGTATATGTTCAAACCTTTAAATTGTCTTAGATAAGTGACATTAAGACAAAATATATTCTACTAAATTTATTCATCTTAAACAATTCTTATGCACTTAAAGTACATCATTAGCTTTCGTAAGCTATTCAATTCATTTAATTATCTTTGTTTACATTTTCTATCAATCCTAACATTTACTTTCTCCGGTTAATATACTTATTTCCAATAAATTATAAGTGCGTATGTACTTAATCATCTCACTTTTTTTAATAATTGTTTTTACCTAATTATAGTAAAAAAATAATTTTGTACTATATATATATGCACACATATAAAAACGACTTAATATACAATATAATTTTACTAAACATTCCTAATTCTATTATTTTATCATTTTTTTATAATGGCAAACTCAAACCTTACTTTGAAGAAATTATTATATTGACAAATTTTACTAAGAAGTATTTTAAAATAAGTTTAAAAAAGCCTATAGAAATTATAAGTTGGATTTCTTTTTATAAATCCTAATAGATTTTGTATAAGCTCTTTTAAATACCTATTATATCATATGAAAATTTATGTTAATTTTTAGTAAAACATTTTAAGAGTTTATATTTAAGTTAATTTGACTAAAATAAACTTATTTGATATTTGAGTTTATAAAAACTTATTGAAGGAGCTTATAACTTATTTTTATATGCTAATTAAATTAATTTATAGTTTATAAGCATTTAGCTTCTTTTTTTTCTTTTCTCATTTTTTATCTTTATTAATTTACTTAAAATCTTCTTTACCCTTTTTAATTTAGAAATTTATTTATTTATCTTGTCATTCTCTCACTCTTATTATAAAAATTATTTTATGTCATTTTACATTTATCATTTACCTTATAAATTAATTTTACTAAACATTTACAATTGAATTAGTTAACTTATAAACTTATAATTTTTTAGCTTTCATCTTATAACTTTTAAATTTTCAACTATATTATAAGTTAATTTTACGAGACATGCCCTTAGAAAGTTGAAACATGCATTACATTTATTAGAATAAACTAAAAACTGGTTAATAAATTTTACCCAAAAACTTGTTAAAAAAATAAAAATTATAAATGACTTTTATAAGACTAAATAACTTGTTATAAGTTCTTACAAATACCTACCAATCAGCATCTCTCTTGTTATCTAATACTAACATATATTGTTTATTTTCCAATTTTTTTAAGTGGAACACCCAATAACAATGCTTTTTCATAGCAGCATTTCAGGATAAGTAAAACAGTCGAATAAATTTGTTGTTCAACACTATTAATGCTATTATTTAATTTTAAGATTACTGCATTTTAAAGAAGTTATTTTGTAGTTTATTCCTAGAATTTAGTTTTCGTATTATAATGTATTGTATTTTAGGTAGGCAATAGTACTACTTAATTAAGAAAGTAATTTTTATGTATTTGTTGTTGATTCTGTTTATGTACGCAGTTTTCATGTTATAGAATGTATGATATACTAGGTAATGTAGCTATAGTGTTGTTTAAAAAACCTTATTTTTTACATTGATTATGAACGCAATGCATGCAAAAAGTCACTTTTTATATGATCAATTTCAAAACTAAATTATAAAGTACATCCATAACAATGTCAAAGCTAAATTATAAAGTATACGCTTTCAACATGAAATAATTCTAGATCCATACATAGAAGTGATCCAAAATGTCTAAAACAATAAATCTTTTAGAAAAAGTCAATGGTTTGAACTTATTTTATGTGTTTTTGTGTCAAAATGATGTAATTTTTTAAAAAATATTTCAAAATGGACAAATTTTAAAATATTTCACAAAATAAGATAAGTCGTGTTTGGGAAACACCACTTTCAATTAAAAATTGTGTTTCACAAACATAACTCTCTTTTTTTATTATTATTTAAAAGTTGGAAGTTTATAAATGACTCATGTGTTTATTTTTTTAATTTTAGAATAATAATTTTTATGTAGGATTTTCTAAGAAAATAATGAGTAAAAGTTGTATTTGTGGAACATGACTTTCAAATAGAAGTCCTGTTTCCCAAACACAGGATTTACCTTATTTTACTCATTTCAAGAATTTAGAAATAAAAATTTACACTATTTTAATACAAAAACCTATTTTATGATACATGTATTTGTAAGTGTTTGAAACAGTTTATGAAATTGAGTTATCACATGTCTAAATAGATTATTTTTCACTTATTTTAATGTTGTCTAACATAATTTATCATTTTATACATACATATTT